TAAAAGTCATTGAGCATAAACTACACCTCAGTGAACATTTTGATTTATATGAATGGATAACGTAGATATAACTGGTTCATCTAAATTTTTCTGATTGTCCACATCCCCAAAAGCAAGATGTTAGGATGTGAGTCCTCCCAGCTGAAGGAATCACGCTATGAACAGGTACTGTGATGTCTGATATGGAAAATGGTTCTAGTTTGCAAGGGAAGAGTGAGTCAGAATGTACAAACCGAAAGATTCCAAGAGAAAATAATGTCAGTAGAATTCTGTCGCTGTGTTATCCTCAAAATACAGAGGTGGTGTAGCTCCTCCTTGTGTTAGCCTCAAAACGGTGCAACCCCCACACTGTTAGAATGGAGCCTTGTGAAAAGACGTTTTCCTCTTTCCTGCTCTATCATCCTATTCGCTATTGCACCTTCAAACACTGTGACACCTACAGACACCATAATCAACAGCAGGCAGTGAAACCAGCTTGAAAGACACAAGGTTTTTTAATATATCAGATAAAGCAGTGGCTGTTGATTGTGGCAAACTACTAGAGTTACATGGCTGTTTACAACTTGTTTGTTGCATTAAGGAGATGCCATTCTTTTCTTTTTTAGCAAACACGGACAGATTTCTCCTGGGATGGCATCAATGTGAGTATGCCCTACACCACTCTTCAAGTTTCTAGTCACCGAATGACCAGGATTTGTTGACCATTGGATGGCCAGATTGGAAACATGACTGAAAGTCTTTAGTGCCACTGAAATTCTGGGAATTGTCTATGATTCAGAGGATGGTGATAAATTTTTTTTGCTTCTGAGTCTTTTGCTGTTTGGCAGGTGGCTATTGCATTGCTTTCATACTTCTTGGGACAAATGTGTGCAATTTCATATGTTCCATTTTCGAGATTTCTGGGAGCTGCTACATAAAACTGGTAGTCCTTGATTAAAGCATCATCTGATCTTCTCCAGAAATTTGCGAGAAATGTATCCCTCATTTTCAGCTGCATACAGAAATAAAAGAATTCTTAGTGTCACCTGGGGGAAATGATCAGTACCAGTTGAAAAGCAGAAGAAACAAGCAAACATTTTACAATATAACATGTTCCTTTTGCTCTTAATACCTGTGCCAAGAAAAAAAGTGGTTTCGTTTTTTTTTCTTTTTCACCAATGCAAAACCAGCATCCTGGAAAGGGAATAATGCATATTTGTGCTGCAAGTTAACTTGATAGTTTTGTACACTTGGAAAGGCATGATTAGAAGCTCCATTTTGAGTAGTATAAGTATTTTCAAATTCCAGATACTTTTAAAACTTTTAAATGCTGTAATTTTCTGGGTTTTTTTGTGATCTGAAAGCACTTGGGACATTGAATATCAAGGGGACATATTTTTAACTAATCGTTGCCCCACTGATATCACTTTCATTGTGGCACTTACGGCTTGCAATCTTTTGCCTAGGATCAGTTGCAGAAACAAGTTGTGTGGGAAAATAATGGTACATGCAGAAACTGTCTATAAGAAGTATGCAAATTTTTTTCCTTACTGCACCTCTTGTCTAGCTGAAAGCAAGGTACACAAAGTAATGTTTTCTTAAAGAAAGAAGAAGACAGTTTCCTTACTTGCAGTTTCCAGTTTTCCAACCCATTCAGAATCCATTCTTTTTCATAATGTAGCTCTTTCTCAGGGTAATCCCATAGATCTTCTTTGTTATCAGAGCTGGATCATGAATTCCTTTCCCTTCCCATTCATTCCTGCCTTCATGTCATAGCTCTCCAACCTTGCAGTAGTAGAAACCTGCAGCTTACTTTCCTTTCTGGATGGTTTCCTTGAGGTGGGTGACAGCACAGCCCCCAGGCTGTCTTGGAACAAGTCGGTGGATACTGAACGGCAGTGCCCAGGCAGGAATGACCAGTGGGGGCATAGATGGACATTTTTCAACAAGCTTCATCACCAAAGGAAATGCATCATGGAACAAAGGCTGTGTTCTCACTTTTTACTGTTCTTCCCCTGATTTCTGATTTCTTCAGCTCACGTTACACACGGACATTCCTGGCTCCAAGTTACAGGATGCTTTAGGTGCTGCATTTATGCTCAGTTTCCAGTAAAACTCATGTCTTGTATTTTGGCAATTGACTGGAATTATATGCAGTTCAACATCTTTAAAATGCCTTCCTTTGCCTCCAACTATTTCACTGCCCAGTTATTTCTCCACTCACTTTTTGTGAGGTCTGTGCCTGTGACCAAATGCTTGTTTTGTGTCAGGATTAAAAATTTCCAGTGTCATGGTCACTACTTTTGAGTATCTTTGTGTTTGAAACGTTCTGGCCTTGACTTTCAGAGAGGTTGAAATGAAGAGCAGAAGCAATGCTTTTTTAGCCCTTGTGAAAATTAAGCCTCATATGCAATGCCTGGCATCTCTGAAGAAGCCGGATGAATTCATCTCGAGGGATTATTTTTATGATGATGTTTGTGACTGCTGCCTGTCCCAGTAGTGTCCTGTCCTTGTTATTTAGGGACTGAGGATGAACATAGAGATGAGAGTAAAGAAAATTAAGCAGAGCTGTAGACCACATTTCTTTACAGATAGTTGTAGGTGCTTTAAACAGAACACATCACTGATATGCTTATGTTCATTTTATTAAGACCATATGAGAAGAAAGAAACCCTAAAGTGACATATAAAAATTATTACCTGTAGTATAATGAATATATGATACATTACTATGTCTTGCCTATCACATTGACAGCTCCCCATTGTAAGTTCCCTGAATTGTCCGTCAGCCATGTTTTGCATCTCTAACAAAGAGGTGGGAATGGTGCAGCATGTCTGTGAAGGACTGGTGCAGCCAAAGGGAGGCTTCTCACAGCCTGGTTCTGTCTCTCCTGCTGACCTTGTCTCACTCAGTCCCAATATCCAGTCCAGGTTAAATAGCCTCTAATTTTTCCTTTCCTTTTGTTCTTGTTGCTTGCTTCTGCTCCTCATCTTCCAACTATCTATTGATTTCTCACTTCAGTTCCTTTTCTCCTTTCCTGTATATCATTTCTTCATATTCTCTCTCTTTTCAGCTCTCCATGGAAGATACGACCTCCATCCTCCCCAAGCTGAAACGCAACTCCAATGCTTATGGGATTGGGGCTTTGGCTAAATCATCTTTCTCTGGTGAGGTCCTCAAAATTTGAGTTTGTCCTTGACAGCTTCTCTCCACAGGCCTTTGTGCCTCTTCCCATATCTTTCTGTTGTTCTCAGAACTGCTCTTTTCTGACTCTCACTTTTGAGGCCTTAGAGGAGTCTCCACCACCGTAGTTCTAAATACAGAAATCTCATAGTTGTTGCCCTTTCAAAGAACAGATTTATCTTACTCCTGTTGGCTTCTCACCATGCACCCCTGCTCAAACATCTTCAATTACTTACCCTCAAACAGTCTTGGGTTTAACCCCATTTTCTGTTTCTTAGTTTGTTCACTTCCAGGCTTCATCCTTCATGCCCTACTCTATCCTAAATGGATTCTAGGCAAGGAAGGAAATGGTCTTTCATATTTAGGGTTTCCCTTTTTCCTCGTTCTGAGACCTAGTCCAAGGAAAGATGGAGAAACTCTCTTGGAGAGTGTTACAGTGAAAAGTGGGAGACACCCAACACCAGACATGAGTCCTGTCAGGAAAGGAAGGGAGAACCTCCACTTCTAAGAGAGGTAAACAGCATGACAGACAACCCTGGAGCTGTGTAATAGCCCTTCCTTGTTTTCTGATGTCTGGCCCCTTAGGGATATCTCGCAGCATGAAGGACCATGTCACAAAGCCAACAGCAATGGGCCAAGGCCGTGTGGCTCACATGATTGAATGGCAAGGCTGGGGCAAAGCTAACAGCCAGCAGCAGCAGCACACACATGAGACAGCACGCAAAGATGCTGATGCCTACTCAGACCTGAGTGACGGTGAAAAGGAGGCTCGGTTCCTTGCAGGTAACGCTAACATTTTTTGGTATGTGGATTGGATTGGTTGGGACATCCCAGAGCAGAATTGCTGAGAGGCCAAAGTGCAGAAACCTGAAAAAAAACTCAGGAAAGGCTGTGGGTGGTTCAGATGGCTGAAGGAGAGATAGATTTTGTGGTTGGAGTATTGCCAATGGAATGCAAAGTGAAAACGGTGAGGGCCAATTATGGGTGATTGGTGTTGCTGAGATAGGACAAGAGTGGGACAGTGTGACCAAGAGATGAGGTTAAAGAGGGTGGTGAGAAGTGAAGACTTTCACACATTCATGCTTCCCCTCCCTCTCTTCTTTGGCTCCTTTTGCACAGGAGTGATGGAGCAATTTGCTATTTCTGAAGCCACTCTCATGGCCTGGTCCTCCATGGATGGTGAGGATGTGAGTGTAAACTCAAATCAGGACAACCCAGCAGGCAACTACTCTGAGAACTATCAGGAGCTGATGGAGAGTCAAGGTGAGCTCCAGTGCTTCTTACTAATCTTAAAATGCCCCTTTCCTGCTCTTGTCATCTTGCACTTTCCCTCTACCCTGTTTTATTCTGTAGCCTCAGTCTTTGGGACTTGGATCTAGTAGCGTCATCCCTATTTGTGGAGCTATCCAAGGAATCTAATCTTAACGGGGAGGCTCCAAAGCCAAGTTCCTTTTGCCTTTTTTGAGCACAACTATGGAAATCTACCAGCTCTTGCAGTCAATTGTGGGTATAATCAAGGTCACTTGCCTACTGCCTAGAAATATTCTCTGTGGACTCCTTCCCTCTAAAGGATTCAGTGCCATGCACAGGCACACAAGCTACCTGAATGAGCCAGCTTGGCCTAGAGAAAGTGTCTAACTGTGTGTTGTTTCCCTCCTTTACTTGCAGAGCATATGGCCCAGACGCAGTATGATAGCTGGCCTCATTCCTACGTCTCGCAGGGCATGTATTGCTTAGGTTCATCTGATGCCTGGGAGGCCAGTGACCAGTCCCTCATCGCTTCCCCAGCAACTGGCTCCTACTTAGGCCAGAATTTTGATGAGTCCCAGACAAATCTTCAGGAAAGCATTTTGCTTCAGAGCAGCTTTCTCCAGCAGCAACAGCTGCAACAACAGCAGCAGGAGCAGAACTTCATCCAGAGCACGGGGCTGGTCCACGTGTGGCCCCTGCAGACTGCTCGGAGTGGGGGTGGAGCTGAGTCCAGCATGTACATGGAGGACCATATCGAAGATGAAGGGAACCCACGGTTGGAGAAGGCTCCTCTCCTAAACAAGAAGCCCTCTCCAGAGGAGGATGATGCAGTGTGCCGGGACCTGGAATCTCTGTCTCCTCGAGAGGAGATGGAACATGCTGCACTGAGCCGCAAAGTCTCAGATGTCACCTCCTCGGGAGTGCAGTCCTTTGATGAAGAAGAGGGAGAAACAAACAACTGATGCTCTCTGTGAAGTTCTCATCACTGCTGAACAAAGAGAGGGGTGGAAAGGAATGAAATTACAGGGATTCTTCTCTCCAGCTCCCCATACTTCCGAGCAGACACACCTTCCATTCCTGACATTTAATTATTTTTTTAAACAAGAGGAAAATCTCAAAGTGATTGACCCGTAACAACCTCTTCTTCCCCTTCCCCATGGACACATACTTTGGATTTTCATTGCTCTGGGCAATACGTGAGGTGCTTGGAGAGGTCTGGATTGGTAAATAATTTCTAAATCTTTTTAATACAAAGTCTTGGCTGTGGATACAAACTCTTCTGGTACTGGGGGTGTGGCCAATGAGACAGGCTTGGTATAGGGAGCGGCTATGTGGCTAGAATTCATCCTGGCAGAATGGATTTTGCTCTGTGGATATGGTCCAGTCCCCTTTGATGGAATATATGAGTATAAACCAGTTTAAAATGAAGATGTGGCTTTGCAAATATAGATTGCACTAGTATTGTGATTGTGGCTGATACAGAGGATAAGGCCATATTCGATACAGACTGTACTGAGATGAAATATTTGCTGTGTAACCAGATCCTCAATAGCACCTTGAAAATTGTAGGTTTGATGGATACAAACTACAGTCCATGGGCACGGGCTGTGCTGCCGTACAGATGGTGTGGCTCTGTGGGCATGGCTTTTCTGTGGCATGGAAGAAGGGATGCACATACGAATCCAACCCTGCTCTCAGATATTTGTGCTTTGGTCTTTTTCATTTATTTGTTTCTCTCTTTGACATTTCTACCTTCCCAGGAGCTGGCAAGAGTGGTGTGTCCTTTTGGCATTGGGCACTGGAAGCCAAGGGAAAGGACATTTTCAGCTACAGAGACAGTTATAAAAAGCTGACTGTTGCAGGGTCTTGAGAACATGTCCATCTTGGTGCTGCTGTATCATTCTGTCTTTTCCCTTGCCAGCAGTATGGGAAGACCCAGAGAGTAGACAGCAGATCCAGGAACAGTGTGTACAGCTATGAGATCACAGATATCCAGTTTACACTGGAGTTTTCAGCTTTTTCTTTTTTTTAACCTTTTTATATTGCTGGGTAAGTGTTCATAACAAAGCAGTTAATAATGGGAAAGGTCTGTACTTGAGTCATGACTTAAGAGAAGTGCAACACCTTTCCCATTTCCACCACTCCTTCTGCAGTGCCAAATGTAGCTGGAGGAAAAGGGGTGAGAGGAAGTTTTCTCCTCCTATTTATTTTCTTCCTGCTTATGTTTTCTTCTTTCGTTTTCCTACCCCCAAGCAGTGTAAATAATGTTCAGTACTTAGTCTGTTTGTTTTTCCCTCCCATCTCTTTTTTAGGTGTGGAGAAAGCTGATTTCAGGAGTTTTCCCTATTTGTACGGGTTCTATATTTTTTGTTAAAAAAAAACATGGTTCATTGACTAGGGGGAATATGGTCTCTTGCAGTTCCTGGTCGTGTTCCTACAGACCTCCTTTTGGGAGGGAGGGGCTTTGAAAGGAATTTGAACAAACTGTCTCCTTTTGAGCTCTCACCAGAAAATAAACAGGGGCAAAAGCAAAAATTGTACAAGGTTATTGATTTTGCTGGAGGGCTGAACAGAACCAGCAGAGATTACCCAAGTGTTGAGTTTTAATGGCAAGACTTCTTGCAAGGAAACGTCAGCAAAGCATGGGTGTAGATCATATGGTAGATCTGATGAGCTAGAGAAAGTTATTTGCCTGGACACTGCCAAACTGTTCCAGGGGCAACACTTTCTCACTTACTCTGACTCATATCTGCTCTGTTTAATTCATGATACATTTGTCTCTTCTTTGCCTCCTCTTCAGGCTTGGTGTATTTTTTGAATGACAGGAGAGTGATACATGCTCCTTTCCTGCTTCAGGTTTAGTTCCTGCATATTTGCAGGGAAGAATGTCTAAGGAGAATAAAACATGACTGGAGTAGTATCTTCAAGTCTCAGAGTTCAGACAGCTCCTTGCAAGCAAAGCAATTGATGTCCAGGAATTATGAGAAGTATAGGAATAGGACTCTCAGGTAGAACTTTACTCCACTCAGCTTTCTCCCACTTACACAGGGCAGCTGCATGAAGAGGGACTCGTGTTTGAATGCCCAAGTCTTTCCAGCCAAGTCCACTTCAGGAGGATGTGTCTTCCCTATCCATTGCACCTCTAAGGGAAAGACCTTTGGGATATTTAAGTAAGACTGGTAATTTGGTGTAGGTAAGAAAGAAAAGTCTTTGTGACCACCTTTGTTTACCCATTTGCTTGGTCTTGCCTATATATCTCTAAGGAGGTAGCTCTTCTCCTGAATGGTGACCTTTCAATATCTCTTCAAAGATGTTTACACATTCAGGTGCTAACCTCCCCTGGGCAGGAGGGCTTGACAAAGATGATCTTCTAGAGTTCTTGTAGGGCCCGTGCTAGCTCATTGTCCTGAACTATTTTAGGTCTAGCCATGGAGCAGGGCCTAGGAAATCACACTAGCCAGAAAAGGGAGATAGGGCAAGTGCCAAGAGCACCTCAGCATTAACCTGTTCATATTCCTATTTTAAAAAGCCTTCAGGGAAACAAAAATGGTTGGGCATGTTCTTTTGTGGGATATTTGGGTAGCTTGTTGTTTTTTTCTCCAAACCATTTTGTTCCCATGTGCCTCTCCAGGACCAATCTGGATGTTTACGATAACTTTTCAGAGTAGCTTCTAATGATCCCTCTGTGTTGTTTACAGGACTGGGGCAAGTAGGTCAACTTGTCCAGGGCTTCTTTTTCTTTAATATGGACATGTGGTACTTTTACTAAGATGTCTGATGATGTCTAAAAGATTTACATTATCCCCATGGAAGGCAGGGACAGGGAATTATCTACATGGGAAAAAGTGTGAAAAAAATTTTCCTTATAGAAAATTTTATGGGGTTCAATAGGAAGAGAAAACCTATCTGTAGATTTTTCTAACCTCCATGGAATGGGATAGAGAATTATACCTTGCTGTATGATTCCATAACTTGATCTCTAGAAACCTGTAGATAGCCTCATTCTCTGTGAATAGACTGGTTTGAACACTACTCTCTGTAAAAAATTTCAAGCTTACTAAATTCTATATTTTTTTCATAAAGGTCTTGACTTTCTGTGAATAATAAAATTTCAGCCTTTTCCTGAAAGAGAAAAAAAGGCTATTTTCCATGACCTCTTCGCAATCCAAAAGAGAAATGTATCTATGTTTGCTAGAAGCTTGACCAGAGAGAGCAGTTCTGCCTATCCCCAGTTGCCACCTGAGTGAGCATCCTGAGCTGAACTGGAAAGGCAGTTTGAGTCTCTTTGAAAGTGAAAGATTGTTTGTATAACCTGGCCTTTTCTTATGTAACAGGCCTGATGCTTATGTGTATCCAATATCAGAGAGAGAGACCTGGAACCTGCTGTACGTTTCCCAGAAAAGCTGTTATTATATAGATACACCTATTCAAGCATATGGGAGGCACAGGTGCTCTGTGAGTGAAATTTGGCCTGCAGTTCCTTTATCCTGGTGAGGAGGAATGGGTTGGAGAGAGTCCAGCCAAATAGTCAGAGCCCAAATTGTTTTTATGAGGCTGAAAATAAGAAGGAAAGGTAAGCTCAGTATCCCTGATCTGCAGTTACTAAGAAACTGAGCCCTGCTGTTTGTTTCCACAACCTCTTTGTAAAGCAGAGCTGCACTACAGAAAAAAAAAAGGATATTCCTGAAGCAGCAGAGGTAAAAGATTCCCATCTTTCTCCCAATCTTTTGTCTTGAATAGGAACTTGTTAAAATTATTGTGCTAAACATTAAACATGAAAGGCGGCTTAAACACAAGTGACCCTAATTTTAAAGCTTCCATTGCAAGAAAATTCTCTTGTTCCTTTTCTGATGATTGCTCATACCTGATCAGTTATACTGTTTCATTTTATATCAATCTGAAGCTTTCTTTACAAGCCTGCTGAGTTTTCTTCAACTCCATCTGGGTTGGAGAAGTCAATCTGCTTCTTTGAGTTTCTGTGCCTCTAAATCATCATTTTCTTCTGGAAAGCTGCTGACAAGGCACTCACTTGCTTTTCCCCCTTAAAAACTTCAACATCACTTTTCGTGACAGGCTCGCAGCAGAGAAGAGAGTTTAGCCATACTTCTAAGCCGATCAAATGGGGAGCTGCTATGAAGGAGGCTGCCCTCTGCCCTAACTGCTCACCTCCCACAACCCTTGTGCAGGTACTGATGCACAGTTGACCTACAGCAAACCATGCACTTTTACCCTATTATAAAAGTGAAGAGGGAACAGCTGTGAGCAGAGGGAGAGAGAGAGCTGTTCTCAGCAGCTGGCCTTCCTTTATATTAGTTTAGGCAAAAAGAGAAAGTGCACTTTGAAATGGCATCTTCATGATGATTCTAAGCTGCTCAAAGGAGCTGTCATGCCTCCTCCTTTCCACCATAACCAGCTGTGTACTTTCTACTGCCTAAATAGCACCAGTGCTAATACTCCTTTGGCTGCTCAGGAACGAGCCCCATTGAAAACTAACCCACTCCTCTATCAAAATAAGGGGTTTGATGGGATCAGCTCTTCATATTGCTTCACTTGGTGAGGCAAGTGTTACTGGGGGCTGGTGAAATGTGCAGATGGTCATGTGGAAGACTGTTTGATTGCAGATGCAACTTAAATTGGCTTAAGCTGATTGTGAAATATCTGTCTGAAAAGAGTAAGTCCAGCTGGGGTACTAGGGAGGACATATTCACCCCTTTCTTCCCCAGTGTTCTCCATGGAATTTCTAGTATGGTCTTACTGATTTGGTCTTTGCTGTTGCTTATGCCCTGTTATTTCCCCTCACTATTCTCTTCCACAGGCTCCTTCGAGATAAACCCTTGCAATAGGGCAGGAGGATATGAGTAACTTGATATGTGCATGGAATTAATAAAATTAACATACACAAATCTTGTATGCACTTAGTGATTACTCTCCATGGCAGCTAAAGATACTAAGTCTTATCCTGTAATTGCAAGAGGGAGAGCCTTGTGCAAGAGTGAAGCGCAGCTGTTGGCAGTGACTTCCCTATCTTTAAGCCTATTCCAATCTAGTGTGAGATCCAGAAGGGCATTTCACACCTAGGCAGAGTCTGTGCATGCAGTTCTGTGTACAGCAACGATGCAAAACTGTTAGTTTTACCCCCAGAGACCTGGAGAGAGGAAATTGTTCTCTTCATTTGACAGAGATATGAGATACGGTGATGAGGCAAGGTAGTGTGCAACACTGCAGGCTTGTTGACAACTATGTATGCTCTGTGCACCAGCAAGGAGAAGTC